TAGTCGTTAAGTTTTATATGTACTATACAGTCAAAATATCTTAATAAATAACTAAGTAGTTGTTAAATATTTTCAACAGTTTCTAGGGCATAAAATTATGGAAACTTTAAATCTTTATGATATAATGACTAAATTATATATATTACCATAACAATTTTAAAATAATTTAGTTTTATGTTGCTAGTTGTGATTTTATAGGTATACGTATACAGGATGTTTCAAAAAACATGTGCCATCTCTTATAGGAAGATTCCTCACGTAAAAACAAGATTTATTTTTCATACAACATAGGTCCGATTCTGCTTTGTTTCGTAGCTACATGGTATTAAAGTCACTAAATTCACTTTTTGGATTTATTATAATTTTCTTCCAAGAGCTTTTAGCGAATCGTATGAAATGTTGAGGGTAAAAGTTACTATAAATGCGACATATTTTAATGCTAAAAAAACGTCCACATATTCACCAGGGTTATGCATATCGGTTATCACTGGGATATTTTTCTAAAAAAAGCATGTACGCCACTTTTTTTCTCTTGTTAGCGAAATAGTGTAAAGGTACATTCAGGCTGAGAGCGTCGAGCGTCGCGTCGAGTTTGCGACGCGTCCGCGTGTCGAAATGGAATCAATTCACTTAAATTAGACCGTTCAGGCAGACAGCGTCGCGTTTGGCGTTGCGCTAGCGTCCGCTGAGCGTCAGGGTTCGAGTTCAATAGGGCGGACGCGACGCAAACGCGACGCGATGCTCGACGCTCTCAGCCTGAATGTACCTTTAAGCCGTTTAATGCCATTCCAATAGCAACCTTTAAAAAAATTAATATCAATAACTTACGAAACTTTTAAATAAGTACACATTGATTTCTTATCGAAAAATACAAGAAAAGTTCTTACAAACATGGGTATGGAAATACCAATGGGTAGCTACGAATGAAAACAAAATCGGGCCTATGTTGATATGAAAAATATATCCTATTTTTACGTGAGGAAGGTCCCCATGAAAGATCGCACATGTTTTTTGAAACACCCTGTAGTTTATAACCTTAATACTGGTTGTACAAGAATAGCTTAAGCTCCAGTTCAAGTGAACTCTGAGAAACGCTGGACTCATCAATTTTATTTAGGTATATTTTTCTTGTAGTGCATGATAATAAGATAATTAACAGCCCAGTTTAATTTTTTTATCATCATTAACGTCAATTTTTCAATCACTGAGTTTTAAAATAAAACTGTCGTTTTGATTTAAATGATTTTAATGACTTAGTAAGTCATACATCGAAGTAGAAAAAGAGTTAAGTCGTTAAAAAGTTAAAAATCCTTTATATTCTAGTTTTTCTTTTTAATTGTTCCAACTATTAAATTTAATACCACTAGTGTTTTAAAAATACATGCATGAGTATATATTATTTGACCTTTTGAGAAAAATAGGAAATATACGGAGTATTATAAAATTAAATGAGTAAATACCGGATTTATACACTATCATAATGATAACTGGGCTATATCTTTTTGGAAATATTTCCAGCAAAACTTAATAATAATAACAATTAAAATATAATAATATTTATTAATTAATGTGAAACCCGTTGGAACAATGTGTTTAGGCATTTTCAGCATTTGCCATAAAATAGAGAGCAATTTGTTACAAAACCATATAAATTATACATATATCACTGTAACCATTAAACTTCAATCTATTTCCCTATTGTAACGGAATTTCAAATTATATCTTTATTTTCGAGAAAATTTAGTCCAAACATAAGAAATATTTTGTTCATGTTTGACCATCATAATCTTAAAAATAAAGAAGTTGTCTAAAAATGTGCTACATTACGGATGTAGTATAATCCTTTATCTTTAATTTCCTTCTTCATTTGTGTAAAAATACCTAGCCAGTTTTACATAAAACGTTAAATGCTGAACGCTTATTTTGCTATTTTTCGGACTAGTGAAATGAACTCTTAATCGACATTTTTTTAAATATTTTATGATATTTGTGATTACTCCCAAACGATACTAGTTTTCTTCAGTTTTACCTGACACGAACAACTGACAGCTAAAATATTCAGTGTGGTTATGAGCCTTAGGGGGTGTGTTTTTTAAAAGGAAAGAATTCAAAAAATCAAGTATATTTTATTTTATAGATATTGTGTACCTATCATATGATAAGCTGGCAATATCGGTCATGATCAATCAAACAAAACGATTTGTTTTTTCGAGTGCTCAATATATTCTTGACCCAATATTATAGCATCATCATATCCTTGAATAATCTATACTAATAATAAAATCCTTAAGTGACTGATATACTGATTAATCACGATCCTGCTCAAACCACTCAACGTAAGAAGCTCAATTTTGGCATACAGGTTGATTCTAGGGTGTAGAGGTTCGATAAGAAGGGATTTTTGGAAATTCCAGTTCCAAGGGGGTGAAACCACCTCTCAAATATTACAATATTTTTTATTTAAAAAAACGGTCAAGTTTCCGAAAAAATGCTTAAACACGTATATTTTATTTTGTTTTTTTACATATTTTATTTTTTTTTAAAAAATGTATACAGGGTGTTTCGAAAAGTCTGGTGATTGATTAATCAGGATCCTGCTTAAAGCGCTTGACGTAAAAAGCTGATTTTTGGAAAACGGATTGACTTTAGGGTGTAGAGGTTCGATAAGAAGGGATTTTTCGAAACTCGAATTCTCAGGGGGTGAAACCACCCCTCAAATATTAGAATATTTTTTATTTAAATACCGGTGAGTTTTTCGGAACAACTCTTAAACACGTATATTTTATTTTGTTGTTTTACATATTTTTTAAAAATTTACAGAGGGTGTTTCATAAAATATGACAATTGAGTAATCACGATTCTGCTTAAACTGCTTGACGTTTAAAGCTGATTTTTGTTAAACGGATTTACTGTGGGGTGTAGAGATTCGATAAGGAGGGGTTTCTCGAATTTCAAATTCTAAGAGGGTGAAAACGCAATCCCTCAAATATTACCATATTTGTTATTTAAAAAACGGTTAGTCTTTCGGGAAAACGCTTGAACACCCATAATTTATTTTGTTTTTTACATATTTTGAATTTTTTTAAAAAAATCATACAGGGTGTTTCGAAAAGTCTGGTCATTGATTAATCACGATTCTGCTTAAACTGCTTGAAGTAAAAAGCTTATTTTTGACAAACGGATTTTTCGAAAGTCAAATTCCAACGAGATGAAACTACCCCTCAAATATTACCAAGTTATATAATAATATCGCCATATTGTTTTTTTCTTATGCTGACATAAATGTGAGAAAATTTTATCCAGTTTGTATGTTAATGGAAATTCTTGCTTTGCTTTATCATCACCATTACAAATGATTAATTCGACGCTAATGAAGTCGCGGGTACACGCTAGTAGTATATAAGATGAAGTACTTATTTATTTGTGTACTTCTATACAAATAGCCTCAAAGTCAATTACATTGCATGTTGTCTGTAAAAAATCCAGTCTGTTAAAGCCCCATCTCCACATAACATTTTATCTATCAGTCTTACCGGTTCAGTCAAAACCTATCCAACCTAAGTCAAACCTGTGGTCAAACCTTGTGTGTAGACGAAAAACGGGCCATTTTACTTGAACTAAATTAAGACAAAAGAGCCTCTAGGGAACTGACAGGATCGTTAATTTTACATTAAAATTATCGTTTTGCCTACACTGAAAAAAATATTAGTATTATCAAGTACTTTTAAAAATCTAATATTTTTGCATATAGTTACACAAAATAATGTAATTCTATTCTACATAATTGTTTAGATATATTTAATGATTCATCATTATCATCATCATCATTTTCAATTTATTCAACCATTTCTAATTATGGTGTAGCCTCCCTCACATACTCACTTTGTAGTTAAGTTCATTTTTGTCTATTGTTGGCTATATGGGCCTAAGTTATCCCTATCTCAGGTTTGGTCTCTCTCTAGGTCTCTTAATTCTTCTGTACCATGCTGAAATTGTTGTGGTCCATCTGTTGTCCGTCCTTCTTGCCAGGTGTCCTGTCGATTGTCACTTGAGGAGTTTGACTCTGTGGATGACATCTGGGTTCTTTGTCGTATTCACTGTATTCTTTTACAATCTCCCTTGTTTATTCCCTATTTCGTTCCATTGAGCGTTGTGCGACCTGCAGTTTCCTTATGATGTCCGTTTTAACCCAGATAAGGCCAAAACTATTAATTTTCAAATTAGTTGATATTATGATTTTTTTAGTGCTAAATATAATATACCAACGATGTGGTAGGCGGTTTTTTCAAAAATATTTGCAGGTTTTTTCAAAAACAGGTGTTCTTTTAAAAGGACGATGGACAAATACACAACCTTCTTTAGAAAGCGTTTATTAGAAAAGCAAATGAATATAATAGAACAAAATGTTAAGCTGTATGATAACTCACAAAACAATTTTTAGGATGTAATGCAATTTCACATTTCTGACAGGTGAAATTAAATTTTTTATGACAAATACCACACCTTGTCTGTTTTTCTTGATAAGTAACTAAATGGTCTAGTGGGTCATATCTCGAATGCTGATGTAAATTAGCAGAATTGCGACTAGGGCCTCTTTTCGATGATTTTTTCAAAGTTTCTAAAATAGCGAGAGCAACTGACTGCCTGAAACGTAAATGGTTCTTTTTGCCATTACTTTCTCGATAAAGCTGCCACGCGTTATGTAAAGCCATATCTAGACAGTGGCAAATTAGGGGAAAATACCATTTTTCCCTCTTATTGACGTTCTATATAGACTAATGTTCTGGTCCGCTCTATCAACCTCTCCCATATTCTCGTTATATTTTTTTATAGCATGAGGTTGGGGAATATATACATTTTTCTTCTCTTTCTGAGAAAATCGTTTTACAGGTAAAGTTGGCATAATTTTGGTGGCATTTGAAGCAATCGTGACAATACTATTGTCATGTCATTTGCATAAGATTATTTTGTTATCTGAAGTACAAAATTCAAATAAACCTCTATCTTTTTTTTTTCAAAATGCTAGAATGAGTCAAAATGCACTCTTTGCCTAAACGATTTTCTCTGATAGTTCCAGTTCCCTTCAAACCCATATCTGTCAGTTTTTCCAACAAAGCAAGTGTAGTAAAAAAATTGTCAAAATATAAGTGGAACGGAGTATTGGGAAATCTTTCTTGAAGAACATGAGCAAACTGTAGAATTATACTAGCTCCAAGACCTAATTCTTTATATTCATCCGCAATAATTGTTGTCGAACCCTGGTAGGGCTCAAACCATTCAACATAACCAGTTTTCGTAGTACCGGCCCAAAACTTATAACCCCATCTGATGGACTTTCCTTTGATGAACTGCTTGGTTCCATGGCGTCCAAAATATGGAACCATACTTCCATCTACACTATGATTCTCCTGAAAGGGTGCAAAGTCGATAAATCTTTTATTTAGTGCGTCAATAAGAGGGCGAATCTTAGCAAATTTATCATTAGTATTCAACAAATTATTATTGTCGCAGCAATGTAAATTTTGTATAATATACTTGAACCTATTCCTAGATATGGCTTCACAAACAAGTTGGTTATTTGTATCTTTGGATTTCTTCCAATACATTTCACGCCTAGGATAACCAGAATACCCACTAAGCAAGAGTACCCCTAAAAAACAGCGCATTTCATTGCCAGAAATGTCTCCATTGCGGTTATGAGACGTAGCATATAGATTGCTAGAATGCACCAACATAGCGATGATTTCAGAGTCAAAAAATAAATGAAATGCCTCTAAAGGCATCCTACACGCCTTTTGGCCCATAAATATCATTCCACAAAGAAAAATCTGAATTTATGTCTGTTTGCAACCATTTGTAAGTGCGCTTCTTTTTTTTCGAGCCAGTTTCTTTAGTACGGAAAACGGACAAAGGTAAATCATCTTCACTATCCCAAAGATCGCTCTCTAGTTCCGGAGTTTGAGGTTCCGGAGTTTGAGTACGTTCCTCAAAACTTACTTCTACTTCGGCACGCAGCTGACTTCCAGGTAAGTTGTTCATATTCACGGTCTCTTCATCCCCGGAATCTTCATCTGTGATTTCTTCATTTGCATTCTCAGGAGGCAATATGTAAATATTATTCGGTATTTCTGCATCGAGATTTGCAATTTCCTCCAACAACTCATGGAATTTCAGTGGTCTTTTCCAATACCTAAAAATGTAGTTTTGTTATAGTAGATTTGGCCACTGTCCTTTTAAAAGAACATGCAGATATTTTCAGTTCCAACTGTCGGTACATATTTCACCATAACCAAGCTTTTACATGGGAACATTTTTTAGGTGTTTATTAACAAAAACCAACGTTCTAATTGATTACAAAAATACAGTAACATACATAGGACTTACCTCAAATCATCCATGTCACACACTGAAAAAAGTCGAACTCAATAAAGTGTAATTTTCACACACTAACAAGTGAAAATATAACATGTGGTGGTTAAATTAACGGAATAATATTATCTCTAAACAAATTCATAATGTGCCATCTGCATTCAAGGAGTTAAAGTTGAGTATTACAGAAATCTGTAACTTGGCTTTTAAAAGGACGGTGGCCGTATCTGTTAAATGTCCAGTTTTCGCACGCATAGGTTGCGACTGGTAGTACACATTGGTCGAATGTTTTCTTCTTTAGATAGAGTGGTACTCTATATATTTGAATATGATTGAGTTTCTTCCATAGGTACTCCATGCTAACTTAATTCTTCCGTTGGTTTCTGGTAGTAGAGATCCCGAGCTGTGTATTAGTTGTCCCAAATATATATATTCTTCTACTATTTCCAGTATTGGGTTATTTATTAGAATGTCTTTTCTTTCCACTAGTTCGTTGTACATTACCTACTTTAGTTTTTGCGAAATTCATTTTAAGAGCTACTTTATTGCTGCCTGTATTCAGTTCATTATTATAATTTTTGCTTGTAGTTCTACATGATTAGATATTGGCAGTTAGGACTATGTCATCAGTGAATCTTAAATGGTTAAGATATTCTCCATCTATTTTTAATCCTTTGTTGCTCCAGTCCAGTTGACGGAAGATTTCTTCTAACGTTGCTGTAAACAGCTTTGGGGATATCGCGTCTCCCTGTCGTACTCCTTTGCCAGTTGGGAACTCTGGGGTTGTTTTTTATATTATTACTTTTGCTTTGGCTTCTTTGTATATATTGGCGAGAGTTTCTATATAATACCTGTCAATACCTTGTTTCACTAGGGCGTCTATTATTGCCTTAGGATATATCGAATCAAATTTAGCAGATTGTGACCACTATAATGCAACTGAGTAAGTAGAAATATCAGCAAGCGTTCTTCGCTATGCTGTCAGATACAATAATTCATAAAATTAATAAATTAGCACTTCAAAGAAAGATATTTGAATTAATGTTGAAAGTGGGTAGGGTAGATTTATTTTACATGTGATTCGTGTAAATTTTAATGCTTGTGTAGTATGTAATGATTTTTTTTATATATTTAGGTACTTTATTCGTCAGTTATGATATTTTTGTGCTAAAATATTCTTGATCTTCAAATACAGTGAGTTTATTTTGGCTGTGAATGTTATTAATATATTCTAACCATCTTAGGTTTATTTTATTATTAAAGAATTTAAACAAACGCCTAACACGGCTCGGCATAGTACAGCACAGCACCGGTTAAATTCATAGAATACCCATTATCAAGGTCCGACACGGTTCGGCACTGAAATTACGACAAGAACGTAGGTTTTGGATGTATGATATATTTAAAAAAGGAGTTGATGGTTTTTCCTCCATTTATTAAAAAATGCTGTAATATTTTTTCAAAATTTTCAAATGCCCACTAAAAAAGGCCACCTCCCAGGAATCAGCTGCCGAAGTATGGTCAACTCGCGGGGTGCCTCACTTCGGTAAAAAGTATACAAGTACTGCCAAAATATAATTTTACTACCAAGCGACTGCCAGGACTTCGAAGAAAACTACCTATGACTGCCATGTAATTATTATAGGCGCCGGCCGTAAGACTGCCGATGACTGCCAGCGACGTAAGGAAAATGTACAATGTTCAAATAGTGAGACACCCCTCAACTGTTATATATCTCCCCTATACTGGTATTGTTAGGTTGTGTTAGGTTAGGTTAGGTTTAACATGATCTCCTTCAGTCAAAGATATCTTAGATTTTGTCTCTCAGTGTATATCCTGGCTAGTTAAAGCAATATAACATTAAGATTCTATTAAATGATGAGATTAATGTAAGTTATAATCAAATATTTGTTAAGTACATCATGCATAAAATTAATTAGCAGATAAACTACATTGTAGTAATAATGCATGTATCTCCTGTGAACAAGGATAATTAATTTATAGAAACTATATTAAGTTATCTGCGATAAAAGGTGCTTTTCTATTTTATTTCTTACAAATAGCCGGATTTGTGTCATGTTTTTAATGACTGAAAGTGTCTAAATCCTCCTACACATACCGTTTACCTGTCACTCTGACTTGTTCAGTCATAACGTATCTAGTAAAACCTTGTAGGTATACGAAAAAACGGTTTGTTTTACTTGGATGAAAGACCGTCTGGAGAACCGACGGGGTCATTCATTTTTAAAAAAACTGTCGATTTTCCTACATTGAAAAAAAAATATAATTAAATTTACAAGCAATATGGATATATTCCAATTTCTTTAATAAGTGTTTAATAGAAATCTAATATTTTTGGCCAACTTTACAAAATAAAATATAATGTTACAAAATTGTTTAGAAATATTTCATTTTGAGGATTATTATCAATCGATAAGAATTTCACAATTAGCTTTTTGTGTTTACAAATGCAATTTACTAATTTATTAATACAAAAGTCACTCGTCAGAAAATCAATTAATGGCCAACAGCTAAAATGCGTTGAAACTAAAACAAATTCACACAAACCATGAATTACAACGTACGAGAGAACATCACTCAAACATCTAATGTGTTAACCATAGAAGAACGATGAGACAACATAAAGAATGGCATCACTAATACAGCAACACAAACTCTAATTCATCACAACAAGAGAAAACATCAATGAATGGCGGATGAAATAATTGAGCTAATGAAGAGAAGAAAATTCAAAAACAAAAGTGAAACAGAATATAAAAGGAAACAAATAAAACGAAAAATCAAGGAAGCTAAAGAACTGTGAATGAGCTGCAACAAAAACATGACGAGTTCAACCTACACCGAAATTTGGAAGAAGTCACTGGATTGTACAGGCAAAATAAAATCAGCACTCTTATAAGCAACGAAGGACATATATTTAGTGGAAGAATGGGAGAGGTACATCAAAGACCTATTTATGATAGTAGAGAAGACATGTCAGACTTAAAGACAGAAACAGGTCCATCAATTTTAAAATCTGAAGTGGAAAAAACTATACAATAACATAATCAAGCCAAAAACAATAAAGCAAGTAGATCAGATCAAATATATTGTGAATGGCTAAAATGCTAAAATTGTTAAACAATGAAAACATAAATGAACTTACTGTGTTGTTCAATCAGGTATACGAAACTGATCATATATAGGTTAAGATAGGAAGCAATGCTTCAACTTCGCCTTTTGCAATACTTATGGATTACAATAAAGACTATTTATTATTATTATTATTATATTCGAGCAGACTGGCTAAAATCTGTCTTCATTCCTTTGCCTCAAAAACCAAATACCAAAAAAATGTTCAGACTGTAGACTTACACGTCTAATGAGTCATGTGCACAAGCTACTTCTACCACATTTTCCAAAAAAGAATTAGCAACAAATGCGGGGAAGCTCTGAGTTCAGAGCAATTTGATTTCAGACGATGCATGGGAACCAGGGAAGCACTATTTACGATGGAAACGCTTCTGCAGATGTGTTGGGAAATAACCAGACCTGTATACCTATGCTTTATTGATTTTGAAAAAGCCTTCGATCGTGTCCAGCACAATAAGCTAATATCAAGTCTGCAGAACATCTAGCTAGATGACAAAGATATTAGGCTAATTTCGCATTTGTATTGGAACGAAACAGCTATTACCGTGAATAACAGAGAATCTAGACCTATTAATATTAAACGGGGCGTGAGACAGTGGTGCATACTGTCTCCCACCCTCTTCAACGTTTTTTCATAAAACATATTTAGATAATCCCTAAGTGGCCCAAAAAGGAATTGTAATAGGAGGAGAAATAGTCAATAATATCAGATATGCCGACGATACCGTATATTATTATACGTAATATTATTATTAATATTAATATATAAAAATATTAAATATAATTCCAGCAGACTGGCTAAAATCTGTCTTCATTTCTTTGCATAAAAAACCAAATACCAAAAAAATGTTCAGACTGTAGACTTACCAGTCTAATGAGTCATGTGCACAAGCTACTTCTACCACATTTTCCAAAAAAAGAATTAGCAACAAGTGCGGGGAAGCTCTGAGTTCAGAGCAATTTGATTTCAGACGATGCATGGGAACCAGGGAAGCACTATTTACGATGGAAACGCTTCTGCAGATGTGTTGGGAAGTAACCAGACCTGTATACCTATGCTTTATTGATTTTGAAAAAGCCTTCG